AATAATAATAATAATAATAATAATAGCTTGGAAACAAATTGATAAATTATACGTACGTTTCAACATTGAAAATCACAATAGAAAAGGCAAGTAAAATGTATTCCGATACTAAACGGACGTTATTTTGTTAGTGTTTCTTTTCAATTGTTATTTCAAACTATGAAAACAATAGTTTTTCATTTCTGTCCACCCCATGCGATAGGAGGCGATGTAATGGTGAGCGGCGGGCTGCTCCTCTGTTGTAGCCTGGTCTTAGATAAACCACGGACTGGACTTCACTACGAAAACCGGAGTCCTTTATCAAAATTGAGAGGGGGTTTTTGCCCTTTACATTCAGCGGGTGTTGTGTTAGCTGAGCTGCTCTGGGTTGTGATGCAAACCAGCTCATAGACATCGCTCGGCTGTTGGAGTTCACACACTTGTCTGGCCTGTTTTTACCGACGAGCGTTTCTGTCCGACTGCGCTTCCGCCATGTTGAGCTGATTCAAGTTGTGAGTGACTGCTGGGACCGAAGTGACAAGCCCCAGAAACCGGACTAGATAGAGTTAGGGGGCTGTTACCGCGCCGGTGACGCAGGAAAAACACCCAGAAGCAGAGGAAAAAACGTAGGAATTAGATCTTTCTAGTGGCAGGTTTGTGTCCTGCGAAACGGTCACAGATATAGGCCACGTTTATGTAATATACGACAGCACCATCGTTGAAGGCTGGACGTAGCCCGTGAATAGAGGGGAAGTCGTCTCAAATTCCTGGTGAGTTGTTAGCCAACTAGCTCGGTATGCTGGCTGATGATTGTTAGCTAGCTAGTGTTAGCGTCAGCTGGTTGTGTATGCGAGATAACACCACCGTTCTTGGTGTTTCTTCAATGCTGCCGCATTTGTCTCTGTTAGCCCCAGAAACTTCGATACTTGCAACGGTTTTAAACTGCATTATCTGCTAATGATAATATATGTGTTCGGATTAGCTTACCCCGCTAGATTCACTGCATCTAAGCTAACGTTAGCTACCTGCAAGAAGACCTCGTCAGTGTCTACACACTGAGAAGGAACATTTCCTTTAAACGTCCCATGTTTACAAGTGCGCGACATGTAGATGTCCACTTCGACTTGTACATATTTTTTCATAGTTGCATTACAAAAAGAACGCCACTGACAGTGTTGTTTAATCATCAGGTTAATTTAAGTCTTAATTTTAGTACATTTTAGCCAAGTTACAACTTAAGGATACGGGTCAGAACACCCAGTTAAATTTCAGGAAATAGACGACTCCTGTCACTATCATTCACCAGGATAGGGACCTAAGTTGTGGGAAATGTATTAATGACTGCAAAGCATAATTGATTTTACGAGATTCATTATTATGTATATTGAATACTAATAAGTTGTCGAGTCATATCAGCAAGCCGCCAAGCTAAATGCATTTTCCGAAATGTACTTACTCAGAAGCTAACGGTTAGCTAACATTAACTGTTGGGATTGGTCCTTGTTAGCACGGCTGTTGGCCGTTTATAATTGTGTTCTTGTTATATGGACAGTAAGAACATTGTGTAGGGTAATGTTTGATCGATAGCGATAATGTTTTAAGAGCAGATTGGGTGTGTATTTAACATCACCAGTTTTGCAGCAAAGGTTTGCAGGGAAATTGTAACGTCAGGCCCAAACGGGTAGCAAGGCCTGTGTATGTTAGCGCAGTGAGCTTTTAACGACAAGGCCTTAACTGCTCTGCTGTCTGGGCGGATCGCCTTGCAGGCTAACCTAACGTTCTGTACCATAGCTAGCTAGGTAGCTAGCAGCAAGCGTTAACTACCAAAACCACCAGCTGTTAATGGTCGTTGAATATGCTTGCCTGTAACGATTGTTACATAATATCACCACGTACTTCCTAAAGAATTTGGATTGTGTGCTTCTGGAAAAAGGCAAAAAGCAACGTACTGATAAAGCGTGTAATAAAAGAGCTACATGTCGAATTTTCCGTCAATAAGGTTTCTAAATAAAAAGCAAGTGTAACATTTCATGGTCGGCGTAGCATCTAATTCTGTGACCCAAATTATGAAATAATTTATCGTGTTTTGCCATTGCAACTGTGATACATGGCACTGTAGCTTTTGTTAAAAAAATCGGAACATTGTTAAAGTAGCTTACATTTGAAATTCGAAATTGCTAGTTATTCTGTAACGTTTTCTTAAGGCAACGTTAGTTCTTCGTCTAATGCAACTTGCCACACTTGATTAATTTTCCATTAATTGATCCTTCTTATTGTTTAATGGCTAGCAAAACCAAAAGTCTTATTCATTCTGCAGATGCTTCCATTTTC